CCTAATTCACAAGTCATTGCAAAGATAAAGTGTTTTTACAGCCGAAAGAAATTTTCTGATGTTTTGAAACACCATAAAACCTTTAAGAACAAAAGATGTATTTTAATCACAGCTCTCCTGAAAGTGTATCTATCGAAAACCCTGAAACTTTGATATGATCTACTTCCCAAGAGAACTTTCAAAAGAAAATAGATACCACATTTTTTTCAAGGTAGTTTTTACGTAAAAACCTGCTGAAGCTCAGAGAAAGAGTGAAGTGATTTCTTGAACATTCTCTCAGCTTAAGATTCTATGATGAACAGCAACACATGCTTTTAATTAATTAAAATGTTTTAGTTATTTTTAACGTATCTTAAGCATAAGCTTTGGGGGAAAAAACTTAAAATGCACAATTTTATTTAATTTATTTTTTTAAACTTGGTCAATGAGTATAAACAATTTTTAGTCTTTTAGTTCATATTGCCAAATTGCCTTCAGAAAAAAAATGATCGATTTAAAGATCCACCACTAACGCCTAAGAGTATCCATTTTACTACATTTTAAAATGCACAACTTTAATAAATGTTATTGATTGATGGTGTTTATTTAAAACTTAAACACAGAAAAGAAAATGAAATGCCTTAACTTTAAAATCAACCATTAATCAGTGATATTAACAACGGTAATACAGAGATTTCACATTGGATTAGAACCAAGTGGGCAGTAAGAATTTTAAGAAAAAGATCAAATATCTAAAGCTCAAAATATAGCCACTAGAATATAGATAAGCTGGCATTATTATTTATTCCAAAAGTCTGTACAATGTTACCAATAATTCAGTGTGTGCCTATCCTCTCTTTTCACCTCTTTGTTCTCTTTCACAGAAAAGTGACTATTCATAGGAGTAGTTGTTTTCAGACTACGATAATAGCTGGTCTGTCAAATGGACCAATCAACTAGTTGGATATTCTGACATCTCTTATGTTTCCGTTAAGTCCATTCTGCTTGTTACCTGCTAGAGTTTCAACGCCCTCATAGTTGCTGGGCTGACACCCAGCTCTGCTGGTGCAGGTGGAACCGGGAGGGCCTTTCCAGAGACCTTGGGAGACCTCTCAAACGACTGAAAATCAGGCTGATGTTTCAAAGTCTGTTTGGCCAACCGATATAATTCAAGTCTGACATGAATTTATTTCTAAAAGACATAACAAATTCCAAACACAACGACCATTTAGCTGTTTCTGAGACTGATCCCAACGAACTAAATTTTATTATTATTGTTGCTTGATATTAGGGACTGTTAACAAGAGAATGATCAAAAATTGTATATGTTTGGACAATTTTTACAGAAAAACTCTGCTGAACTGGTAAGAATGCAAATTGGAGAATTTTATTGTAAAGAAACAAGGCATTATTTTCAAACAACCAAACAAATGGCTAGGAACGTGTGATTCTGAATGAAGAAAAAAGACTGCTGTAATTAGCAGATTTCATGCACCCCGGTGCTAGTAAGTATTAAAAGCCATTAATGAGTCTTAATAGGTTAAACAGTCTTCTGCACCTATAATTTGCTTGACAAGAATCTTTTTCATTAAAAAAAAAAGTAACAAGCATTAGTCTTGCACTATCCAAATAATCATGATTCACAGAACTCAAGGTGCAATTTTTCTGGTTGACTAAGCACAGAATTTTCATGCTGGCAGGACTCTTACAGGTCTACCTAATTGAACCTCCGAATTGTGCAAGTGAGGAAACTGAGAATCAAAGTGACTTGTTCCCAGATAGAAAGGCTGGCCGGTAAGCAGATCTTAACTCGGCTCCATTGCTCCCAATACAAGAGCTCCTGCTAAGACAAACCACCCTATTCCAAGATGCCTTCCTGAAAAGGATGCCGACAATGAGTTGATTACAGCACATACAAGCCTCCTTTGAAATACCTTTGGTTTTACTTTCTACTCAACAAGCACAGATGTCCTTACCACCTGCGTGGCACAGGTAACTGAGGGAGAAATGAGAAGACCACTGGGCTTGATGCAAACAGTCAGCATGACATCCTTGTGCAGACACAGGAGGAAGCATGTCTTTCCATCAAACAGAGAGCCACGGGGCCTGCTGCCTAAGAGTGAAATGGAAGCAAAGCCTTCTGTTGCCTACTAAGGATTTCTCCGCATTGCTCAAGAGGCCCCCAGGTGCCAGGAGCACATATGTGATAGGCAAAGGCGTCCAGGGAAGCCTTGTGAAGTGAGCAAGGCGTAAGTCACATCCACTGTGGACCTTCTTGCAAAGAAAAAGGGAGAGAGGGGGTCATTTCCCTGGCACCCCTCAAAAATACGGAGTCCTGAATCAAAAAGGCCTGAAACACTGTACTAGATAATCTGCTAGCTTGTCAATAAGGCCAATTATGGAAAAGGGGGTGGAAGGAGGCTGTAGAGCCAACTAAAAAGAGCTTGTCGAGTCTTTACTATTATATATGTTACAGCCTTAAAGGTAAGAGCGTTTATCCTCTTCACAAGTTAGGAAACTAGGCTGTCTTAACATCTACATAAGAAGAAGCTGAGGTGACGTGGACAAAGTTCCCCAGCCTGTGACGGTAAAGCTGGAGTTCAAACCCAGGTCCCGTTCTCCCGCTCTGCCTCTCACCCCACGGCCTCCCAAAGGGCAGGATTCGGGAGAGCGCGTACAGCCTTCCAGTGTCAGCCTCTAAGCCCTCCGAGCTCTCAAGTCCACGGTCATAAACAGGACTGACACCAAACAGAAGATGCAGTATCAGCCAATGATGAACGAGCGCATCCTCCAGTCCAAGCACACCAGGGAAGTCCGTTACTCTAGTAAACTCGCTCCTCTGTGACTTCCAGGTCTCTCGCTGTTGTAGAGGCACACATGTTTCAGAAACTGCGTCTGAGAGTTAAACTAAAGCCAGAAATAGACTGAGAGAAGGAAAACTGTCCTGGTTAAACTCCAGGGTAACCTGGGATGCTCTGGACCTTCCAGGCTCAAGCGGGCCTATCCCTGACAGTGTGGCCACCTCAGCCTTAGGGAACCTGAGTGAGGACGTTCTCCCTCCCCTGCAGATTCAGAGTCACCCCGTGGCTTCCCCAAGATAATCACTCAGAGGGTGCCCTGCTCACAAGCCCCCCACTTACACCAGCATAACTTTCCACGATCTCATCTACCCGGGATGCTGCCAGGAATCAGAGAGCAAGCAAGAGAGGCTGATGGGGCTTCCCTGGTGGCGCAGTGGTTGAGAGTCCGCCTGCCGATGCAGGGGACATGGGTTCGTGCCCCGGTCCGGGAAGATCCCACATGCCGCGGAGAGGCTGGGCCCGTGAGCCATGGCCACTGAGCCTGTGCGTCCAGAGCCTGTGCTAAGCACCCTAACGTTTACTCGAGTCAACCCGGCAAGAATTTATAGAGAATGCACTCTTCCTCGGGCAGCGAGCCTGCTGCTGGGGGCAGTGATGATGAAGATGGTGATAAGAGTAAGAATTACAGCAGGAGCTATCACATACTGAATGCTTACCAGTTACACTCATTCGCTCCTCCCCCAAACCCTATGGGGGTAGCTCTTATTGTTATCTATATTTTTGTAATAATTTTAAAAAAAAATGAAGGCACAAAGTGGTTAAGTAACTTCCCCAGGGTCACAGCTAGTAACTGGTGGACACAAACACAGACAGGCTGGCTTCCGGGTCTGTATTACCAGCCGCTACACAACACTGCGCCCTAAATATGAGTGAGGAGTAATATGCGTAGGACTATCCCGCACCCGAAGCCTACAGTTTGAGCGGGAAGACAGGCGAATAAACCTCCGAGGAGCACATAAACCAGCCCAGGGTTCAGGAAAGGCTCCCAGCAGAGATCTGCTGAATCCCTCCATGGAGACCTGGAACACTGGAGGAGGAGGGGTCTCATGTAAGTCTCCAAGGAAACCCGTCCAACGAAGAGCTCGAAATTCTTCCTTTAAATATTGTCAACAGGGACTTCCCTGGTGGCGCAGTGGTTAAGAATCCGCCTGCCAAGGCAGAGGACACGGGTTCAAGCCCTGGTCTGGGAAGATCCCACATACCACGGAGCAACTAAGCCCGTAAGCCACAACTACTGAGCCCGCGTGCCACAACTACTGAGCCTGCGCTCTGGAGCCCGTGAGCCACAACTACTGAAGCCTGTGCGCACCTAGAGCCCGTGTTCCACAACAAGAGAAGCCACCGCAATGAGAAGCCCGTGCACTGCAACGAAGAGTAACCCTTGCTCGCCGCAACTAGAGAAAGCCTGCGAGCAGCAACGAAGACCCAACTCAGCCAAAAACAAATAAAGTAAAAAAAATATCGTTAACGATAATAAGGGTTTGCTCTGTCTTTCCAGCCTATGAGTGATTAGAAAATTCAGAGAGCAGGGTTTGTGCCCAGGAAACAAAGAGGCTGACAGGAGGAGAGGATGGAAAAATAATTAAAAGAGACAACATGGGAATACAAAGAATACAGCAAAGGGCCCTTCCCATCTCAATGGGGTAATCACAGCACACCTCGAAGGCAGGTTACAGCATTAACCTAAGCATCAAGAGAAGGTTGGTTTGTGCTTTATATGCTGTTTTAATAAGCAGGGAAACAGGAAATGGATTTTAGAAAGGCACTAATAGAAATAGTTCAAGTACAAAATTGTGCTGCAAAACCTTCTGTTATTTAGAAAATTCACTTAATGTGGAAGTTCATTCACCAGGATGATGGCTAAAACGTGTGACAGATGCCGTGTCTGTTTTCAGAGGAGAGGGGCCTATCTCTACAGGCTATTCCACCAAGATAAGCCTTCCTCCCTCAAAGCCAGCATCCTACTGTTCCCCTTTGTCAGCTGGAGAAAATCTAGCTGCTCCGTGATTGCTGGAGCATTTGGGGGCTGGTCTGGTTCAATGTGGCTCTCATTTGAAGGCCGCAGACTGCTCCCTTGGCAGTTCCTTCAAAGATTCTGATAGAAAAAGAGAAAAGCCATTGCCAGGCACAGGATGAACCAGTGTTGACTGTGTTCCTTACCTGTTCCTCATGATGATTTCACCGCAGGACTGGCAATAAAACGTGCAACATTCTTGGGCTTGGGAGCGTTGATTAAACACTGAGATCAGTTCTAGAGGAAATCAAGGAAACGGCAAATCTTAGCGGTTTGGGACAAATCCATTAACATACTTAAGAGTTTAAGAGCCGCAATAAATTACCACCAATAAGCACTGTTTATGATCTACCCAGAAGTACCCATTTAGTTAGTATTATCTGATGACTCAAGCAGAAGCAAATATTGGGAAGTGTTTTCAAAAACAGATTTTGCTACATGTTTCAGAGTTAGGTATTGCCCTAAATGATCTGTGTCACATAGATAACTCGTTATTTCTCTCATTCTGCAAATACCAACATTAAGGATGAGAGAAAAGGAGCTATTTCCTCTGCTATGCTTAGGGACAGTTTTTCATCACTGTGACTGCTGGTAAACAGACTTCTTAAATTTAATTCGATTGAAACGAGGTTGATGTCCGCTCTGGCATCTTACCAGTACGTACAAACAAAATCAATCTTGAAATTGGTCTTTATTGGGCAGGTCCCGGGGAATGAAACGGCTCCTAAGAAGAGTTCCATCTTCCAAGAGTGAAACTCAATTTCTGATTAAAGCTGTGGGAAAACATATATTTCCCATAGTATATGAAAGAGCAGTATAAGACAGTATGTTTCCTTAGTTTCCATTATTTCATTCATGAAGGAAACTTTCATTTCCAAAAAAGCCCAAAAAACAAAATCCAAACCTACAAAAATATTTGTCTATTAAAAAAAAGTCTGAAGAAATGAGGTTATATCCATTAGAATCAAGCAATTTGAATTTGGCTTATGTTACTTTATATTCTAAGATTTAAAAAAATTGATGTGAGCAAGTTTAAGCCTTAGAGTTAAAAATTCTTCTGTTTAATTTCCAGGACTGCCCTGTAGCACTAAAGTGAAACAAACAGTGTTCTTTAGCTCTGAGCAGATAATAAGTAGACCTGGGTAAGACATCCAAAATGTTCTTTTCAGAACCAATAAACAAATTTTCAGTGACACACTGCCCTCTGCTGCTCACCCAGCATGATGCAGGCTCAGGTTCAAGTCAGAACCTTCTGATCCAGGGGCATCCTGGGAAGCGCTGCCACCTGGGGATGAATCCAATGCTGGTACTACATCAGATTTTACTGCAGCCAGCTCTGGTCAAAGGTCACGTCTGACCTATGCATTCAAAACAGTGTAACAGTATGTCTACTGTAGTCCTTAAAAGAGCATCCTTATAGTTGAAAAGTCAACTTTGTAAAAACCCTGAAACACAGATTGAATGCTATAAATGTTAAGACTCGCTTCCTACCACAGATTTTGATTCAAGTTTACATCAGTATGCACCTATTTGATATTTATTCATTCGGCAAATATTTATTCACCACCTATTATGCGGAAAGCACGAAAGCAATTAAATACTGAGGAATCTATTTTGCATACCCCTTCATGCACTGCAGAACAGGGCTTCGAATGTTTTTCCTTTTCAGGCTGTTGCGTAAAATATGTGTTAAAAATGTAAAGAAATTGGAGACCCATGAATGCCAACAACAGATGCAAACCAACACACAGCAATTTATTTTTTCCAACAGTTAAAACTAGACGGTAATGTTTGCTGATTTAAATTTTTAAAAATGGCTCAAGTTTTGCTATTTAACTGTTACAGAATATGGGTAGGCAACATACCAATTCTGTCTCTGGAAGGTCTCCGTACCTCCTCATTATAGGACCTAAAATCATGGTCCCAGAAAACTAGCAGAAGATCTGAAAACGCTCCACTGTGGCTTTCACACCTGCCTTTCTCCAGTTTCCTGATGTGACCCAAGATTCCTGCTCTGGGTACTGTTCATCATCGCTAAAGACAGGTGATGACATCACAGGAGCCAGACTCCCAAGGCTTCTTCCCTGAAACAACACTTCCCCTGCCCATCATGTGGTACCCTCAGAGCGTCTATCTCCCATCTTGATGGCCCCATTTTTCTTTCCATGGTTATTCCAACAGTCATTCTTAGGTTTATCCTATGCCACTTCAGCCCCAGGACATTTCTTTCCTCAAACCAACCCTGATCAACTCAGACTAGTTATTCACTAATCCAGCGCTTAAGCACAATCATTCTCCAACAAAAAAGGAACGGCGCTCCCTCTACTTCTCTTTCCTTTCAAAAGCCAGGATAGAGATGCGAGGGAACACCTGACAACTCCTAAACAGCTCTTCAGTACAATCCTGTTGACCGCCCTTGGGGCTGCATGGAGAAATGCAGATGAAAGGCTTCGCATCCATGAGGCAACAGGGAAATCAAGTGCATCTATAAGAACTATAATCCTTCTCTGAGAACGAGTATCACATTCAGCTGTTACAGCCTCCGTTTCCCCTTTTTACATCATTTTTAATCCTCCGAAGCATATCATTCACATGGCAAAGAGGCAATGAACCAGTGAGGTCATTCCATAAATTATTGCGAGAAACATTTCTACTGCCTTTCTGAATCAATGTGCCAACAACAAAATATTGGAAGTATCACAGGCATAGCAACAATCAAAGTCAAATGATGCATCAAACTCAATTTCAGAATCTGTATGTATTGTTCCCTCTAGTTAGAAATGTCCCGGACTTCCCTGGTGGCACAGTGGTTAAGAATCTGCCTGCCAATTCAGGGGACACGGGTTCAAGCCCTGGTCCGGGAAGATCCCACATGCCGCGGAGCAACTAACCCCGTGTGCCACAACTACTCAACCCGCGCGCCTAGAGCCCGTGCTCCACAACAAGAGAAGCCACGACAATGAGAAGCCCATGTACCACAACGAAGAGTAGCCCTCGCTAGCCGCAACTAGAGAAAGCCCGCGCACAGCAATGAAGACCCAACGCAGCCAAAAATAAATAAATTAAATAAATTAATTAATTAAATGTCCCTAATGGATGCGATCATTTCCATCATTCAGTTCTCTGGTCAAACACTGCTTTCTCAGAGTGGCCTTCCCTGACCCTCATCTGCCCCTAGTCACGCCCTATCCCATTACTCTGCTTTACTTTGCCCACAGCACTTACCTCTGTATCCAAACAACTTGTGTGTTCATTACCTGTTCCCACTGATTAGAATCTTAAGCCCCATGAGGGCAGAGACCTTCCTAGCTTGCCCACTTCTGTACCCCAGCACCTAGATCAATGAGCTAATATTTGTTGAATGAATGTTTCTACGTAATGCTTTAATATCAACCAGGTCTTGCACGATTGCCATCTGATTTCATCCTCCTATCAACTCTGTGAGCCAGGTTTTTTACAATTAAAGAAACAAAGCAGGGAGTATGAGGGAAATCTCTTTACCTTCTGTTCAATTTTGCTGTGAACCTAAAACTGCTCTAAAAAAAAAAAAAGTGCAGGCTATTAGGAAAACAAAATAAAACACTTAAAAAAACCCCAAAGAAACAAAGCCTCAGAAAGGTTAAGTAACATGTTCAATTGCATGCAGCTAATAATGGGCAGAGCTGGCAAAAAGCACACATCTTCTGGACCCCCAGCACATTCTATGCAGCTGATAAGCAGTGATTTTCACCTGGAAAAAGTTCAACCTTTCAAAGGAAAAAAAAAAGAATCACCTTTGATTTATAATGAAAAAGCAAATGCAGAAACAGGACCGCCAGCACTACTCACTTGTGCAGAATTCCGCCCGCGCCTGCAGCCGCAGGTGCAGCCCGTCCCCGGCCACGTGCCGCAGCCCACGGCAGGAGGACGGGACAAGCCTGACCCCTGCTGGCAGCCAGAGCTCCGTGCAGCCGCCAGGGCTTTTCATCTGGAGCGAGGTCGGCGTTATGCAAACATCCATGGGCAGACCTCCTTCGTCTGGAACGCTGGGAATTAAAAATAACACACAAGAAATTATTTCTCATTGATGAAAGCCACATTATGAAAGAAACAAAAACGGCCAAGGAGCTCTCTGTTCCTCTTCAATAAGGGCCCTGAATTTAGTCACTGCCGTGGAAAAACAGCAGGGAACTTACCGTAAAGGAAACTAATCTATACTAGGTTTAGATGAGGTCAGAGAGTACTTTTCGCTGTCACCGTTAACATGAAAGTTCAGAGACATATTTTTCATTCTTGCTTCTTTTTTTATGGTAACGATGCAGTTTTAAGCATGTACTCTTCCCCACTGCCAATGATCCTGAGTGCCAACTCTCTCCTCTACCCCAGTGCTTCCTCCATCTACTCCAGCCCGGACCTACCCCTGGGCTGCTCCAGGATCTGCCGCACAGCCTGCCACTTCGCTTCCCCACCCCGACTCTTCCCTCCCACCGGTCTCCCTGGCTTCAGCTTCTGCAAACCAGCACAGTGGAATGCTAGTCTGTCATGCACCACGCACTTGCTCATCGAAGTTGGGTTTTTTTTGCGGTACGCGGGCCTCTCACTTCTGTGGCCTCTCCCGCTGCGGAGCACAGGCTCCGGACCCGCAGGCTCAGCGGCCATGGCTCACGGGCCCAGCCGCTCCGCAGCATGTGGGATCTATCCGGACCGGGGCACGAACCCGCGTCCTCTGCATCGGCAGGCGGACTCTCAACCACTGCGCCGCCAGGGAAGCCCCATCAAAGTATTTTTGGCCAGAGAATTCAACAAGGCAGCGTAAGACGGTGGCTTATTCACCTTTGCGTCCCTTGATCCTAGCATGATTTCGACCTTCATTCACTCACTCAACACACCTTTTTTGAGTTCTACCATGTGCCAGGTACTGGAAATACAATGATTAACAAGATATTTCCTCTGCACCCCACACCCCCAAGCAGGGGACAGGCTAGTAAACAGGAATGATCAAGGGAGCATTAAAACTATGTTGCACTTATTCATAATACAGGGGACTATGGAAGCACGTGGAGGGGGGCAGCGACTCTCCTAGGCCAAGCACTAAGTAAATGTTATGTGAATAATGAATGGATGAGTTAGTGACATATTCTTGTTTCTGAGACCAGCATTTCAATGTTTTACTTTACTTACAGTAAATGAGAGTAAAGCATTGGTATTTGATATACAGGATTTTGATAAGGAAGCCAGGATTACATAAAACAAAAGGTACAGGAGAAAAACTTTGTCGATTTTAAGAATAAACAAATAATGAAGAAAACAATCTAGTGATGTATGAATACCAGGCATGAAAGGACTTACTAACCCAGTCCACAACAAACACAAATCACTTGGTGCAGGCAATAGAGTAAAACACAGTTGCTGTCCACCAGGCACCAAAAGTACAGAAGGGTATGAAGACATATAGAGATGATACTCCTATGAAGCTGAAATATGCTCAGCATTGCACCAGAGGAGCAAAGCACCTGGATCCCCCTCTTAAATGCTGACAGCAAGAGCAGGCCATCCACTCAGTGTCACTGAAGTGCAGAAGGTGGGCCATCCACTTGCATGTCATCCAAGTAGAGAGGTCATACCGTGTGTTCAGGTGTGAATCTTGGTCAGGCCTCCTATTTTTGCCTTAGAAAATTTTAAAACTACTTTCTGGCTAGTTCCTATTAGAAGTGTGTAGATCTGCCCTTAATTGGCAATACAGAATATCAAGAACCTGAGTCTTGGGACTTCCCTGGCGGTCCAGTGGTTAGGACTCCACGCTTTCACTGCTGAGGGCGTGGGTTCGATCCCTGCTCAGGGAACTAAGTGTGCAACGTGGTCAAAATTTTTTTTTTATTTAAATTTTTTTGACGTGGACCACTTTTAAAGTCTTTATTGAATTTGTTATAATATTGCTTCTGTTTTATGTTTTGGCAGCAAGGCATGTAGGATCTTAGCTCCCCAATGACCAGGGATCAAACCCACACCCCTTGCATTGGAAGGTGAAGTCCTGACCACTGGACGTCCAGGGAAGTCCTCCAAAATTAAAAATTAAATTAAATTTTAAAAAAGAAATTATTACAAAAACAAAACAAACCTGAGTCTTTTCCAGGGAAGACAGACTCAAACTCTTGAGTCAAAAGTCTAGTCTTCAGAAATGATGTTTAAGAAATAATAATCCTCTAAAGGAGATGTCAGAAAACTTTTTATATAAAAGGTCAGATGGTAAACATTTCAGGTTTTATAGACCATATACGGTCTCTGAGGCATAGTCTACTTTTTTTTTCTTCCTAACGACCCTTTGAAAAATATAAAATCCATTCTTAGCTCATAGACTGTAACAAAACAGGCCGTAGCTTACATCTGGCCCCTAGGCTGTAGTTTGCCAACCACTGCTCTAAAGATACACAATTTGTTCAGTTTGGTACTTCAGTGATTTTCAAACTAGACTGTGCACTTGGCACTTGCAAGCGTCTCAAGGGAAACCACTGGGTTCCTAAGTCCCCTGCCTGCCCACCTCTGCCATACCACCCTTTCCTCTCTTCCTCTTCCTGAAAAATGCAGCCAATTACATACGGCAAAGCAAGATAGGTATCTTCGAAAGGGTGGAAGAACCACTGAAGCCTGGGGTAGATATGAGAAACCCAGCAGGGTGAGGAGGGCCACCCAGCAAGGACGTCAGGTTCCAAGAGGAGAAAGGAGGAAATGTGAGCAGCAGGTGGGGGTCGGCTCAGCATGGAGTTTCAGAGCCTGTCTTAGTCTGCTCAGGTGCCTATAACAAAACACCACACAATGGGTGGCTTAAACAACGGACATTTATTTCTCCTAGTTCTGGAGGCTGGGAAGTCCAAGATCAAGATGCTAGCAGTTCTTGGGGAAGACCCCCTTCCTGGCTTGCAGATGGCCGCCTTCTCACTGTATCCTCACATGGCAGAGAGAGGAAGTCTCTTCCCATAAGGACACTAATCCCATCATAGTGGCTCCACACTCATGACCTCATTGAAACTTAATTATCTCCCAAAGCCCCGTCTCCTAATACCACCACGGGGTAGAACTTTAATATATGAATTTTTTTTTTTTTAGCGGTACGCAGGCCTCTCACTGCTGTGGCCTCTCCCGTCGTGGAGCACAAGCTCCGGACATGCAGGCTCAGCGGCCATGGCTCACGGGCCCAGCCGCTCCGCGGCATGTGGGATCTTCCCAGACCGGGGCACGAACCCGCGTCCCCTGCATCGGCAGGCAGACTCTCAACCACTGTGCCACCAAGGAAGCCCTAACATATGAATTTTGAGGGAAAAGAAACATTCAGTCCGTAACAGAGCCCAAGCACGTGAGGAGAGTGTCGACAGTGAGTGGAGGGAAGGGAAGTGGCAAAGGATGCCAGAGGAAGATTAATTGCATAGAGTGGAGCTGACCAAGTAAATAAATACATGTCATGAGGATAATGGAATCCAGGATTCTCACCGTGGGGGGACAGCTACAAAGAGGGGAAGGGAGAAAACCAGAACGGATCCTATGGTGGTAGACTAGAATCTAAAATACCTGGGGGAAGTCATGGTTTCCAATGCATATAACTAGATACAGTAATATATAGAGATACATATGTATGTGTATTATGATATATTTACAAACACACACATATACATGCATACATAAACACAATACATATGTCATCCACACACACTCTAGTTCTGTCTACTAGTGGGTCTGGGAGAAGTGACACGCCAATAGTAATGAGTACCCTCTGTGCCCAGATCTTGGTTTCTAAAGGTCAGTTTCCACTTAAAAACAAAATGAACAAAAATGAAACAAAACACGGTTCCTTGGAAAAATAACTACATCCAGGGCTGGGACAGGAAAAGAATGAGATGAGCCTGAGCCTGGCATATCTTGCTGTGCAACTAAGTAAAGAAGAAATCAAAGAATGTCAAAACAAACAAACAACCAAAAAAACCCAAAAAACACAGAAATCATGTTGAAGGGACTCCCCCTGGCCACATCTGGTTATAATTTGAGAAAAAAAGTAACCCACTGAATGAAACAGAGCTATGGGTCCATACTGGTATGAATAAATGAATGACTATACTTCAATTTAAAATAATAATAAATAAATGAATAAAAGGAAAGTATGATGAGGAACAGGGCATTTACACAGTCTCAATTAATACTTATTGATAATGAAAAGAATTATTAATACAACTAATACTTATTGATAATGAAAAAAAAGGGCAATTTATGGTGGAGAAGCCTGGCAGATACCACCCTATTTAAGTTCTCAAAGTTAACGTGAACTTGAACGGAACAAATCAAAATCATGTACCACCTGAGAGGACGCAATGAGAACACAGCATCTATTTTGTGATATTCCTGCCAAAGATGTATAACCTGAATGTAATCTTGAGGAAACATAAGACAAAACCAATGGAGGAATAGTCTACAAAATAACTGGGCTGTAATCTTCGAAACTGTCAGTCAAGGAAACTGAGGACCTCTTCCAGATTGAAAAACGAAGGACACATGAGGATGCAATGCATGATGCTGAGCTGGATTCCTTTGTATTACAGATATTAAGTAGACAACTGGAAACACTTGAATAAGGTCTGAGTATAAGATGGCAGTAACATATTTCCCAATTTTGAGTGCTGCATGCTGGTTTTGTAGGAGAACGTCTTCATTTGTAGGAAATCCACAGTAACGTATTCAGGAGTGACAGCAACTTACTCTCAAGTTTGAGATTATTCCAAAACAAAGTTTTTGAGGCCCTAATTGCCCACACTTTTTATATGTGAGGCTTTTGTCACTATTCTCTTGTATTCTTTCAGGTGGCACACCCTGCTCGGAACTATCTAATAACCTCACATCTCAACTCTGAGTCCAAGCTAAGGTCCTTTCAATGGTCTCTAAGACCCAGTAATATACTAGAGGCAATTGTTAACATTCCAGGCATTTTGCAAGCCAGTTGACCTCACTTTGGTAGTTTGATATCATCTATGGTGAAAGTATTCCCACCACAGGAATCAGTAAGTGCTGCAAATCAGGAAGAATGTTTTTGTCTGTCTGGTTTTCCTGGAGAGCAGGTCATTGAACATTTTCCAGCACACCACTGCAAGACCCTTTACTATGTGCTTCACCAGCCCACCTACGTCTCTCTGAACTAGGCACCACCTCATACTTTCTGTTCTCTCACAGGGCAACAGTCTTCCACTGGGAATAATACAGTCCCAGACCTCACCCCTTTCAGTTTATTGCTCCACTGTTGCTTTCTCATTCAGAATAAGGGGTTGGAATTTTTTTCCCTACCCCCTCTTCTGTTTTATTTTCTGCTAGGTACATATCTCTATTCACTATAACATATATAAATATTTGTGTATTTTCTGCCTCCCTCTTGCCACCACTAAACTGTAAACTCAATGAAAGCAAGTATTGTTGTCTTTGCTTTGTTGGTGGTGTTCACAGCCACATAACCAGCACCTAGAATCTGAGTTTTGGGCCCTAGAATAGGAACTCAGTAAACGTCTGTGAATTTAATAAGTGAATGGCCAAGGTTTATCCCAGGAATGCTAAGATGGCTTAATATAAATAGACTGTTTCTAATGCAATTCACAGAAGTAAAGACTAAAGGAAAAAATATGACCATATATTTCTACAATACATGTAGAAATCATTAAGGAGAACACAGTATCTATTCATGATGAAAACCCTTAGTAAACTAGGAAGAAAAAGGAACTATGGGGCTTCCCTGGTGGCACAGTGGTTAGGAGTCTGCCTGCCAATGCAGGGGACGTGGGTTCAAGCCCTGGTCCGGGAGGATCCCACATGCCGTGGAGCAACTGGGCCCGTGCGCCACAACTACTGAGCCTGCACTCTAGAGCCCGCGAGCCACAACTACTGAGCCCGCATGCCACAACTGCTGAAGCCCGTGCACCTAGAGCCCGAGCTCTGCAACAAGAGAAGCCACCGCAGTGAGAAGCCCGCACACCACAGGGAAGAGTAGCCCCCACTCGCCACAACCAGAGAAATCTGCGCACAGCAACGAAGACCCAACGCAGCCAAAAATAAATAAATAAATTTATTAAAACAAAAAGAAAGGAACTATGCAGTCTGCCAAACAGATTCGCCAAAAGTCAACATCATCACACCCAATGATGAAATGCTAGAAGCAGTTCTTTTAAGATTAGGGAAAGAGAGCTTCCCTGGTGGCGCAGTGGTTGAGAGTCCGCCTGCCAGCCAGTGCAGGGGACACGGGTTCGTGCCCAGGTCCAGGAGGATCCTGCGTGCCGCGGAGCGGCTGGGCCCGTGAGCCATGGCCGCTGAGCCTGCGTGTCCGGAGCCTGTGCCCCGCAGCGGGAGAGCCCGCGGTGGTGAGAGGCCCACGTACCAAAAAAAAAAAAAGATTAGGGAAAGAATAAAAATCATATCATTTACATTAACTGCAAATAGACTAAAAATTCTAATTAAAATGCAGAGATTCTCAGAATGGATTTTAAAAAACTCTGCCCAGTACATGCTTTTAAAATTTTACATATAAAGACACAAGTTGAGAGTAAAAGGGTAGAAAAAGGCATACCATGCAAACAGTATAGTCAGCTGATTTCTGACAAAGACACTGAGTTATATCAGTGGAAGAAATGACAGCCTTTTAACTAATGGTGATGGAACAACTGGGCATCCTTATAGAAAAGCAATGAACTTTGACCCCTACCACATGCCAAATACAAAAACTAATTTGACATAATCACAGACCTAAATGTAAAAGCTAAAACTATGTAACTCCTAGAAAATAAACATAGGAAAAAAGTCTCACAAGCTGAAGGTAGACAAAGATTTCTTAAGGACACAAAAAACACTAATCATTAAGGAAAAAAATGCAATAAACTGGATTTCATAATAATTAAGATTTTCTGTTCATCAAAAGACACAATTAAGAAAATGAAAAGTTACAGATTGGGAGAAAATATTCACATACTCACAGGCATAAATGAAAAAGGTCTTGTTTCCAGACTATATAAAAAACTATTTAAATTCAACAATAAGACAAACAACTTGATATTAGAAGACACTTGACAAAGGAACATATATGCAAAAAGCAAATGAAAAGGTACTCAACATTATTAATCAGGGAAATACAAATTAAAATGACAATGAGATACTACTGTATACCACCAGAATAGCTAAATCGAAGACTGACAACACTAAATGCAGACGAGAATGTGAAGCCATTAGAATTCAGTTTTCTCTGGTTAGAGTGTAAACTGGTACAATCACTTTGGAGAACTGTTCAATGGCTTCTCATAAAGTAAAGCCCCCGTCTACCCTATGACCCAGCAAAAATACTTACACAAAAATGTATGGCAGCTTTGGGAATTCCCTGGCAGTCCAGTGGTTAGGACTCCATGCTCACACTGCCGAGGGCCCCGGGCTCAATCCCCGGTGGGGGAACTAAGATCCAGCAAGCCGCACAGTGTGGCCAAAAAAAAAAAATGTATGGTAGCTTTATTCATAACAAGCAAGCTCTAGAAACACACAAAATATCCAGCAATAGATGAATGGATAAATGAATTGTCGTATATTCATACAGTGGAAAACTACTCAGCAGGAAAAAAAGAATGGCCTATTGACATATGCTATGACATAAATGAAACGTGAATCTCGCAAACACTGTTGAAGGAAAGCAGCCGGAAACAAACAAGTACATATTGTATGACTCCATTTATACATAGTTCAAGAACTGGCAAGCTAATCGTTGTTGAATGAAATCAGAACAGTGGTTGCTTTTAGGGTTGGGGAAATTGACTGGTGATAAAGTTCAACAGCCAAAGACCACCAGGGACAAAACAGGAGTCCAGGAAAGTTAGGTTTCTTAACCTGCTGAAAGAAGGGAGAGTTATCCAGGGGAACCATGAAGGGTCCCTTTGATGAGAGAAAGGAGGGAGGTTGTCTTGTTTCGTTTTGTGTAAGGTGTGGGCTCCAAATAACCTCACAAGGTGAATTTGAGTTGGACGTGCAGCACTTATTGGAACTCATGATTTGAGAAAGGGCAGGGGAGGACGCAGGGGAGAAAGAGAAATAAGAGTAATAAACATCGTCCCCATTTTACAATTGAAAACATTCAAATTAAAGGATTCTACTCTGGTGAAGAAGCTAGGACTGAATCCAGTTCTCAGGCCAAATCCAAAACTGCCACACCAGACATCCGGCTGGTTTCAAGAAAAGAGAAGGCTAAGCATTAGTCTATCTCAGAGTGGTACTGTGTAATAAAACGTTCAGGATTTTAACGTCTAATTTACACTGTTTGAAACAGTGGTCACAAGGGAACAGTCGAGGTCCCATATACTACCAAACCAAAAAAAGAGAACACTTTTCCTAACAGTTTCTTGTTTGTGTAACGAATAGCAAGTTAAACGCTTGCAAACTTCTCACTGGAACTCCGAATATGAATAAAAGAATGAGCTCCAATAAGAAGTCTGCAACCTTGGTTAGTCGTTCACTGAACACACGTTTACTGAACCAGTGTGTCAGTTCCTTTGCATAGAGAACACTTTGGGGAGGAAAAAATAACACCGGAGTTTATTTACAAAACAGGAAGCTCTCACATTGGAACAGATTTCTTACAACGAGGATCCCAAAGAGGCAATCAAAACATTTTTTCCACTGTTTTGTTGGAAACTCAGGGCACTGTCAACGGTGTGGTACATTAGGTATCCTCAAACTTTATTGTGCATCTGAATCCCGGGAAACGTGTTAAAATCTAAGTTCTGATTCAGTAGTGCTGATGTGGAGCTAAGACAACGCATTTCTAAAAAGTTCCCAGGTGATGCTGAGATTGCCAGCCGAGGGGAGACTGGGGGCGCGCGCGGGGGTGAGCACCTCCACTTTGAGTAACCCAGAAGCTCTAAGCAACTGGAAAAAAGAAATTCAAAAACCCGTCCTTCCGAGGGAGGCGGAGCTTGCCCGGGCAGCCGAAAAGCGAGCTAGGCTGCGCCTGGAAGCCCGCACTCCACCGCCCGCCTTACCCCAGGATCAGCAGCGCGCTCTGCAGCCGTCTCCGCACTTCCAGGAACACGCGCGCCTCCGCCGCAACCGCCGCCATGGCGGGCACCCAGCCAGGGGCTCCAGCGACCCCGGGCACCAGGGCCGGAAAGGGGCTGCACGTGCGACCCGAGCCAGAGCAGGAGCGGCAGCGGCGACGGTGTGGGCGGCGCGGGCCTCCAGGACCCGGAGGTCGGCTGCCCGCCAGCCCACAGCGCCACCTGCCGGGAGAAGAGCGCGCCGCCGCGAGGACTCCATCTGAGGGGCGTGGCAGTTTCAAATTCCGGCTTTGGGTCTGAGCGCGGAGAAAGATGGGCGGAGGGGGGAGCCGAAGTGTCCTCCCACGGTGCCACCTGATGCATCCGGCTCCCTGGAAATGACCTTCAAAGTCAGACCCCCAGTGCAGTGCTTTGGGTAGTGTGGGTAGGGAGGAGACTGGACGAGAGGGAGATGATGGAGAGGGGTCGGTATAGCTGGGCACTGTCCCCAGGAAGCCAGAGAGCCGAACTCCCCACCCCAAACACACTGTATCTTGGATTTGTTTTTGTTTTTGTTTTAATGAACTACGGTTGGTTTTTTGTTTTTTAATGAACGCTAGTCGGCCGTTTGGTAGCTCTGTCTGAGGCAACAAATGTCCAGGACTGACGTGGCGTTGCTTCTCAATTTAGACCCAGTCGCTCCAGGATGGAAACGGTTGCAAAAATGAGAGAAGTTTTCTGTTATCTATGCAGAAGAGAGTGTGGTTAAATCCAGTATCATGGAACATAGGATCAAGCATTCCCATAACTTTTGAAAAGAGGAAGATGAAAATGACTCCATATGTACATTTCCGCTCTTCACTTTTGCAAAAGTAAAAACTGACTCAGGGAAGTTGTACTATCATGCTACTAGAAGATGTTTTTGGAAAGTTTGACCCAGTAAAGAAAAGGATCTAACACAATGTAAGTACTTATCATGGGAATATATTAAAATATAAGGCCATGGTGGTATTATAATGAAAATTCTTTTCAAACAAGAGGCTTTAAAAAAATAGAAACAATGATTGCTTGTATGTAGAAAATCGTATGTTTATTGATTTTCTACTTTATCATTTCAACGTCACAATTATCACACACCAAACGTATTAATTTGAAGATTTTCCAAATAAATAATAAAGCCATGTCCCTAGAGATACTAGTTTAAGACAGTTTTTCTAAAATCTATATTTGGAGTTTTTACAGTTTATTGTTTTGCCTCACAAATTCCTGTATCCATCAGAATAATTAAAAATTATGGCTGGAGGTAACACAATTAAAAGAATTAAGCTGACTGCTATTTCATCTCAATGGTGATGAAGCGTGATGGTTTTGATGGAAGAAATTTTCACATATTAAGATATAGGGAAGTCATTCTGGCTTATACAAGGTTTAACTTGAACTTTAGGATAACCAAAACAGCCTATTGGTGGCCTATTAAATATGCATTGAGGACTTCCCTGGCGGTCCAGTGGTTAAGACTCTGCGCTTCCACTGCAGGGGACGTGGGTTCAATCCCTGGTCTCGGAACTAAGATACTATATGCCACCTGGCACGGCCAAAAAAAAATGCATCGTGCATCTACTTTAACCATTAAAGAAAACATGCATTAAAAAAAAATGGAGTAACTGTGGTTCAGGCATTCCAAATGGAGCCAAGGTGGTCATCGTGGACATAGTTTCAGACACGTTCTTGTATTACTGAGAACTTAAATTTTCTGAACTGTATCAGACTCAAGGATGCCACCAGCCATTCTCAGAACAATATCTGCTAGCAGCTGCCAGCTGCAAACTTATAGTCTCAAGGTCTCCCCTTGTAACTATGCAACCGTTTCAGACCCCAACCAATCCTTACGTAACAAGCACCCGTACTTCCTGCCAGCTCCAATCCTAATTCTTGACAAATAATTTATGTAATTTTGGGCCTTTTGCCTTTATAAGCTGCCCCCATTTTGTAGTCCAGTGGAACACAATACAAGTGTTTCTTCAATCTGTGTCTCCCAGGCTATAGTCCTCAATTTGGCTTAAATAAAACTCTTTTTTTCTTCCTAATATATATGATATATTGGTTTATGGATTATTTCCCTCCACAATTTCGACTCCTTATGCCTTCCACCTTTAATTCTCAAAGCTATTAAGTGCCTAAATGCTGACACATTCTTTGAAATATAACTTTTTTTTTTCTTTGTGGGCCACTCGTCTTGCAAGATCTTAGTTCCCTGACCAGGGATTGAATGTGGGCCACGGCAGTGGAAGCGTGCAGTCCTAACCACTGGACCATCCGGGAACTCCCTATATACCATTCTTAACACAGCATGCTCTTCATAATTGATGTTTCATTATTTTTAAGAATTGTTATATTTCATGTATTCATGTATTTCACATTCGCAAAAGAAATCAACCATTTTCTTCACCCTACATTTTAGGCAAAAGGGTGCAATTCTTGTAACAACATGATTCTAGGGTTCTAGAATGAAAATATCTCCTTATGTGATAACAACTATTTGTCTCCTAACTTCACAAATCTTTTAACCTCTCTGTGCTTGGGGTTCCTTAATATTGAGGAATTAAACAATTAGTTAAACAATTTAAACAAATACTTAAATAATATTTAAAAGCTATTTTCAACTCCTAGCATCCCTTCCATCTCTCCACGCATCATGATGGGGCTGGCGCGTGGAAAACACCTGCTACACCCCTTTGCAGGTCCGCTCCCTCAATTGGTGGTGATGGGCCGCTTCCCCGACAGTCCGCTTGAGGGCGCTGTGGCTACAGCTAGTGCCCGGAGGCAAGGAGCGGACCGGGGGCGGGGATCGAGGGCCGAGGACGTCGACGCCGGCGTGGGCGCGAGCGCGAGCGCGGTGCACGCCGGGAGCTGTCACTAGGCCCTCCGGCTCCCGGCCTCCGTGTCGCTGCCGCGGTTGCCAGGAGAGCGGCGCCGGCAGGAAGCGGCCGAACCCCGGTAGGTAACAGCGTCCCCGCCCCCAACGCGGTCGCGAGGCCGGCCGCCGGCCCCGAGCGGCCTGCTTGGCCCGGCTCGTTCCCGAGCCGCCGGGACTCCCCGCGGGTCGGCTGATGGGTTGGGGGATGTTGCTGCCCCGGCCCCGCCTGAACTCGCGAAGCCGGCCGGCCGCCTTCTGGTTTCCGTGGAGGCGGGAGCTGCGCGGGGACCGGCGGGCCGGGGCCGGCCGGCGGCGCCGCGAGGAAGGCCGGGGCCGGCGGGGCCGGAGCGTCGGGTGACCGGGCCGAGCCTCCTGCGCAGGGGTCGCGCGGTGCGCGAGGTTGGGGTGGAAGTCGCACCTGTGCGATGAGAGCGCGCGGATGCACTTCTGTGTTGGCGGAATCGAGGCTTCGTGCGGCCTCTTGCATCTGGGGGGTTGGTTTGGGATTGAGGAGACACAAATGCCCGCCCTGGTTCATATTACATGCGGGGGGGTTGGAAAGGAGTGTAGAAGTTTATTAGAGGAAGTCAGATCAGTTATAAGGAAGTTGTTAACAATCATCACCTTTGATTCCCGAGACTTTTAAAGTTGCAACATAACAATAGTCGCTTGTTCGGTCTCCTCCATTCTCGGAGGGGGAAGGGGAGTGGCACACAACTACTTTTTTTTAAAGCTAAGTAATTTGTGTTTTGATTATTCTTACACTTTCTTAGAGTTCTGTGGAGTTTGAGAAATATAAAGATTGGGAAAATCTGATTTGGAGATTGCAGTTAAAGCAATCAAAACTTTTTTTGTGATTACAGAAAAGATAGGAAACTAAGTTTTTGCCTGAGAAATAAATCCCGAACTATAGAAAGACAAAATCCTTCAATTTCGATGTTGTTGGCTGTCTTGATGTAGACATAAGATCTCGCATTTTACTGTGGATAACATATGTTAGCTTTATGTTGTAAGTAACTCTCCACCTGATAAACAACAGTGATTTTGTTGAGCTGACAAGTTATAACGAGAGTAAATTAAAACCAGTTGTAGTACAAATGGTTTATTTTAAAGTGATTACTTTCAGCCACTCTGAACTAAATCATTACCCAGAATTACTAAACAGTAGATCTCCAGGTGACCCTGATTATCAGGAACCCGAGACTCAAAGAATTAAAAACATCTAAGTTAATACACAAACCTGGAAATGTAACACCATAACCAAAATATTAAATGTAAAGTAAATGTTAATTAAATGTTTGACTGTATGCAGTCAAAGGAGTCCTATTTAATAGTTAACCTAGTGTAAAGAACTCTTGCCTGGGAAGGAGAGATTTCATTCAAGTCCTTTGTTCTCCTGATGACCAGGTGTGATCTGTCTAGGCCTCAGATTTGTCATCTGTTTTAGGGAATTTCATAGGTTCACATTTTTCCAAACTGTTTCCCCTGAACACTGTTCTGAATCCATTAATACTCTTACTGCCCCCAAACAGTGTTCCATGGCAAATAATTTGGGAGCACATTGGTTTTCATCAGGCTTAGCTTCTGATTTACTTTTAACCGCAAGACTTCTCAAAACCTTTACTACTGTACTAATACGCACGTGCACTTCCAGGGTGTAAGCTTCCCGGGGAAGGTTATCCAAGCATTTCTTAGACTTACCTGGCCAGAGAGCACATTTTCTCATGGCCAACCTGTTAACGTCTCCTAGGGTATAATTACATAGAATCCGATTGGAAAATTACTGTAGTTGAGCTGAGTCCCCTTTCAGCTCTAAAATTCCCTACATTGTATGCTTCTATGGTGTTCAGCTTAAGCTTGGTGGCAACTCATTGGACCAAAGGGCTTATATGTGCTTTAGTAGGATATTGAGGATTCACATAGGTTTCTGTGAACCTTAATGCTCTAATTTATGGCGGAAGAGTATCATCTTTTTTCTGGGCTCTTGATGCTTTTCTATAACTGTAATTAATTCAAGTTTGGAATTTGATTTTATGGTCAAGTTATTGATTTTATTAAGAATGGCATTATAAAGTTCCAGAAGTAAAGACTTGTTGATGATTGCATTGTTTTTTTTACAGTGATTCCACTTTCTAGTCATGAATTCTTAACCTATGAAATGTGATAAAAGCCACTTGAAATGTACTTAATAACTAAATAATTTTAAGAGCTTAGATCATTGAAAAGAGTTAAAGGTTAGGGGCTTCCCTGGTGGCGCAGTGGTTGAGAGTCCGCCT